AAGCGGCCTGGGGAAAGAGCGCCAGCTCAGGCGTGCTCAGCGCCAAGGCAGACCTCGCAGCGGGAGTGCAAATCGCTGGGTAAGATGAAGCCAGTGTCGCAGCCTGGGCACACAGTGATGTCAGTGTGGCACTGGAGTCTGGTGTTTGAGGATCTTTGCTCTTTAACCATGTTGAGGAAATGCTCTGCTGAAGAAAAAGAGGAAGCCGATCACATGCCGCTCCAGTGGACCTGTTCTGGGACAGCCCAGTGCAGGGCACAGGGCGCAAAAGCATCTCCTTCAGGACTGCACATGTGCGAGGAATAAACCCCATCGTGACAGCTTTTCGAGGGTGAAGCCTATACGAAATAGAACAATGCACAACACCTCTTGAAATCAGGTGTCAAATTTTCACACAAAACAAGCTAACATGAATGTCATCCTAGCCAGTAATAATTACAACCAAATTTGCCTAATGCTAGTTTTTTTTTGTTTTTTTTTGTTATTCATCTTTCAGCTGCTCCTGTTTTTCTGGGATTGCTACAGCAGATCCCAACAATCCACATACATGTATGTGATTTGTCACAGGTTTTACACTGGATGCCCTTCATGACACAACCTTCACATTTTACCTAATGCCATTTGTAATTTACACATTTAAAATGTTTTTCTAATCTGTCAGATGGAAACTTGATAGCACCAACATATAGGCCTATTTGGGAAAGTGATAACAACAACAACAACAAAAAAACCCATCAATAGAGCAAGATGCCATAAAAGTTCACCAAAAAACCTGTAACATCAGCTACAACTAGCTACTGTTACTCTGTTCAGCCCCATCTGTCATTTATATTTGTTTACATTGTCATGTTTAGTCAATTAAAAGTAAGCCTACACCAAATTAACTGTTTGCCACCCCTGTTTGTAATGTACTCATGGATATAAAGGTATTAAGACAACTATCACTGGATTTATCTACTAATTAAGAACATTTTATATTGTGATGATCCTCAGGTAATAATAATAATAATAATAAAACTTTATTTATATAGCGCTCTACAACTCGCAAGAGCACCAGAGTGCTGTACAGTAAGTTCAGCAGTGTCTTTTTTCCTATAATTTCTAAATGGATTTGTGTAGGTTTATTGGCAATGGACCTTACAAATAATAATATTCTCAGGAAGTGTCTACAAAAAGCACGTCAACGTTTCATGTTCATGAGTTAAGATTTATGTAATTTTATCTCCTAAAGGAGTGTTATTCTTTTACTCAAATTCAACTCAAGAATACACTTGATCCTCAAATTGACCCTCATGCCCTGCCCGTCTGGTGTCAAAAATTTGTTCCCTTGTCGAAATGCGTTTCCCCCATTAAAACTGTGTTTCTAGTAGTGCTCCCTCTGTGTTTATAGTCTGGATATGGTTAGGGTTCAGATTAGGGAAAACATCTCTATGGGGGGAACAAATCTCGACACAATGCCAGAAAGGCTCTTGGCGCTGTTTTGCTGAATGTCCATTTCTATTACTGACCATATCATTTTAATAAGCTAGCCAACTAAGAGTAAAGTAAATAATAATCCAGCAAGCGATGGAGCATTACATCTTAAATATGTTTTTAAGTCAAACTTACCAGCCAGCAGTTATTGTTTGCATTTCAACAACTAAGCCACTTACGGTTCCTGGTTGTCTGATTACATTCCATTGTGATTTTATCCAAGCAGTTTATTTTACTGACACCATATGACGTGACGTGGTGCACTCAAAAGCTAAAGGTTTAGGGTATTCAGTGCTTACAAAAACATTACTAAAAACAGGCGATAAACTTCTACCCTTACTCTTCTAAGCTTATCTCACACATCACCTTAATTTCAAATGTCAGCTCATGCTAAGATTTGACAGTTTGCTCTCAGCAAAAGGAAAACACAGGACATTATACCCTTTGTCTCAATTTCCATGACTTTTCGCTGACTGGAAAACTGGTTTCCAGGTTTTCCAGGACACATGGGAACTCTGCTTAAATCTTTGTTTCTTTGTGTTTTTGCTTGCTTCTCTGCCCTCCACACTATTTTTGCTTTTTTTTTTTTTTTGCAGGGAATCAGACTGTCCAGCTGTAATTTATACAGGTCACAGGGCTGCCGTGCTTTGCAACTTAAATGTTCCATCCAGTTCCTCTTTATAGTGAACAGTATATCCTAATACATAACATACAGTATATGAATATGCATGTTTACACACAATACACATGCATACATACTATAAAATTGCAAACACAGAAAGACAAAAATAGATAAACGAATAACACAAATATGAAAAAAACCACTAATGGGGTGTTATCTACAGTGCATTAGCCAAAAAAACCCAGTCACACACACACACACACACACACACACACACACACACACACACACACACACACAGTCAGCAAAAATACCAAATTCCTCCCCTGTGCCCAGTTGCCTACTGTGCAGCCATTGCTTTGCAACTTCACACACCACTGCGAGCCTTTGCTTCAGTAAAGCACCAAACAACGCAGCAGTTAATGGTTAAAGCGCAGAGTTGGTAACCTCCCACCACCAAAAACGGCACACTTACACATAACGTTAATGACATCTTTTCTGCTACACATTAGCTATTGTGCGGTAATTAATGGGAAAGTCATGGTATTCAAAAAGCCAGTCTTCTCTCTGCAGACTAGGAGTTGTGCACCACAACAATGGCTTAATGAGTAAACAAACTGCATGTCTCATGAATAAATTATTTGTGCCTCACAATTAATTTTTCCAGACTGAAGTTGGAAAAAAGAGAAGGACTGTACCAGTCTTCATAAATCACAAAGGGAAGGGGATGGGAGAAAGAACATGACAGCAACTGTGTGTGTAGG